AGCGTGCAGCTCGGAAGGATCGGGTGCGGTCGACTCAGAACGGGACACCAAGCCATATATGCCAGGAATGTGGTCGAGCCTTCCTGGACTATTATACGAATAACAAAATAGAGTATATCTTGTTAGAGTGCCATTATTTCTTTCTCGTGTTAGTTTGGAAGACTGCAACATACGAGAAATGATACTTAGTAAGGCCATTTCTGAAATGCTTATTTAAGTTTGTGCTCATGTGTCTCTTATATTACTGAAATTAAATGAGAACTCTATTAGGTATTCAGTTATTGCAAATGTCAATAGATAAATTGTTGGTTGATTGTTTTTAATGGCGCAAAACACCAGAGCTACCTGCGCCAATAAAGTAAAAAAAAGAAATGTGAGACATGAAAAAAATACAGAAAAATAAAAGAATAAACCAAAGCGTCTCAAAACTGTGTGTCTGTCTGTGTGTGTGTGTTTCCGCGCGCGTATCTCAAAAACTGATAGAGCAATGTACACGAAAATTTTACACAAGATGGAGAGTCAGTATGAGACAGTTTTCCCCAAATTTAGTCCGGATCCGCATTTGTATCCGGATTCTGAATCACTTTGAAGCAAATTTGACGTTATCCAATGAAACTGTGGGTAATGCGTAGCCTAGACAAGACAACTTCCTCTCTCCGATTCATATAGAAATTAGATAGCCAAACAATAACAATATGCTTGATCTGGAAAAGCCTGTAATAAAGCTGCTCACTCCAAATCGACTGCCAACTGGCGTGAAGCCTTGCTTTGATAATAGGTCTGTAGTCCACATAAGAGACAGTTCAGGGTTGTAACAATGCCAGAACAGACAGATTTAGCTGCAGTGTTAGCAAACTCGTTCACACAAGTATCAACATGGTCGAGAATCCAGAAATAGTTAAAAGAAACGGGCGATCAAGAGAAATGGATCAGTCATTTCTGAATATCCAAGAGAACTGATACTTTCAGTCAGGAGTATCTGTTCTACTCAGATATATCAAAGAAAAGAAACAAGTGGGGATGGTAACAAACCATGGAGATATGGGCTGATCATTGGATTCAGCAATATCATCCAATTTCAGACCCAATTCAGTCAACCATGCCTGGAAAGAAAGTATGTAGACACAATACCAAGTGGGATGTTGTGGTAAGGATTGGAGCTTCACATAATAATGTAATGAAAGTTGCAAACATCTAAGGTGTAGTAAAGGTGTGGAGGATTCAGTGTACAAACTCTACACTGGAGAAGTGCAGAAAACCCCTGTGCAGAACCAAAGCCTCTAATGATGTATAGGGTCCGAGGTCTTTAAGGCAGAGTCACTGGCTAAACTAAAGACCATATATACATAGTTCAACTTTGAATGAATTAGGTCACGATGAATCTTCAGCATGGAACATCTACCAATTCCCCAAAAAGTGGAAGAGAGAACACCGAGGACATTTAGTACCCTGAACATTTGACACAAAGTTGCTAAATGTGTGGAATAAATATCAGCTTCTAAGAACTTTGACTCAGTCACCAAGGAAATGTTGACACGACACTGGCGACAAAAACAAGAAAGTGTTTGTTATGATCCACCCCACCAAGCAAGTGAGAGCAGTCAGAAACTGCTATTCAGTAAACCTCGAATTTGGTAACTGCCAGGATATCTGAAAGTCATTTGCAAAGAAAATTTTTGCAACTGTAGCTGGAAATAGTAGAATAATAGTATTGATATTAATATACTGAAAAGCGTGACACTCAAAACACAGCCCTAAGGGACTCAGTTTCTGTGTAAAGGATTGTAACAATGTTGATCTCACACAGACTTGAAATAACCTGCCATTTAAAAAGTTTTGAACGCAAATAGGTAAACGACCATGTAACCCATAGGAATTGGAGTACTGTAATATGCTAAACACAAAACTCCACATAGCGCCATAGTCCTTCTCAAGATTAAAAAAAGATCCAAAGGAGAAGCTCCCTCTTGAGAAAGGCTTCACTGATCAATGTTTCAAGTCAGATCAGGTGGTCCATGGTGAAGCACTGTCTAAGAAAACCATTGGGTGGCGAAAGGAAGTTGTTTGATTCCAGGAACCAAACAAGTTGAGCATCAGCTATCCTCACCAAAACCTTACAGAGACAGCTACTTAAAGCAATCAGTCTATAATTAGAAGAAATCTTTGGATTCTTGCCAGGCTTAGAAAAAGGGATGAAAATAGAAATATACATCTGGATATTCCTCCTTGAGCCCAATCCAGTTAAAAACAGACAGAGGAAGAGCAAGAGAAGCAGAAGAAAGAAGGTGAAACATCTCATAATTAATATCATCATGTGAACTGATATAATGCTAGACTGCATTGGCTTGGAAAGAGGGTGGTGACAAAGAAGGTAGTGGAAGTGATGGAATGGTGAAAAAATTATTCACCAAGAATGCTAGCAATACACTTTAATTTCAGCAACCTCTTGGCTATTGGAATGCAAGATCAAATGAGGATGAGAGGTAAACTTCCCACTAACTTTTCGAGTCTTGTGCCAAACTACCTTGGAACTGGTGGTAGAAGAAATATGGTGTATGAATGTAACCCAAGATTCCTTCTGACTTTGATGTCTAACCTGCATGTTGACAGGCCATATATGCAGAAGATATCCTAGGCCACTTTCTAGGCCTTTCATTGGCAGTCATGGGTCCACCATAGACGAGGACACTGTGGCAATTATGTTGAGGTTTTAAAAATCATATGAACAGCTGCCTGGAAAATACAGTCATTTACTGCCTCTAAGTAATTTTTAATAGTAGAGAGATTAATGACAGCAGGATCAAGTTCAAAAAGAGTGGTGAAGAAGAATCAATGAGTATGCCCCAGCTTCCCACATGTGACTCAAGTCTGATGACACTGATTGTGACTACTCTCACTTAGGACAATGAATAAATGATCGCTACTCTGTGGATCATTCACTACTCTCCAAGAAAAATAAGGAAGAAGGGAAGAGGAACAAATGGATAGATCTATGACACTAAAAGGCTGACTAGTAGCGTGAAAATACGTATATGAACCGGTACTCAAGAGAGAAATGTTGTGATCCGAGAACATACACTGCACAGAACAACCACTCCCATCAATGTTGGCACCACCCCAAAGTGGATTGTGTCCATTAAAGTCTCTAAAGATGAAGAACGGAGATGGTAACTGTTTAATAACACCATCAAGATCTACTTGATCATAACCCTCTCCCAATGACAGCTAAAGAGAACAAATTGTCATGGTGTGATCGATGGAGTCACAGATGGCAACAGCTTTTAGTGGCATATTAAGTGGAACAGACATGATGGGTGCATGCTGGGCAGTCAGCAGCGCCACACTCGTATCAACTCGTCCATAACACAACCTGTGTTTCCTGTACAATGAAACTGCCAAAAGGTGACAGCATCACCCAATCTCAGAGATGTCTCCTGAAAGGTGAGACACACAGGATGATAAGCAAAAATCAAGGTCTTAATGTCATATAAATAAAAACGAAAACCTCGACAGTTCCACTGTATAAAATGCTCGTTGTTACTTGGAAGAAGCAGGAGAAACCAGGGGGAGATCTCTTTTGTAGTTGTTTACAACCACAACTGTTTTCTTAATACAAAGAAGTCGATTGACCTACATGGATCCTGCTCTGGGTTGTTGGGGCTAGTCGCTGTCAGATGAATGTGTGTGTGTGTGATTGAATAATGGTCCTGCACCTTGGGGCCAATGGAGGGGTTTTGAGTGTTCACTGGATTTTGCTGTAGGAACAGAAATTGGAGTAGGCACATACACTTGTCAACTCATGTATCCATGGAGGGCAGTATATATCCAAGTTGGAAGAGAGGACACCAACTTCTGTGCATCAGCATAAGAAATATTGTTTATGGTCCGTAAACATTGTACCTCGTTTTGCTACATCCATTTGGGACATAAACTAAAATAAGAAGGATGAGAACCATTACGGTTAATGCAATGTAGTACCAATAGTCGTTCATAGTTATCATGGACTTTGCCAGCATAACTAGCACGTGTCAAAGAACAATGAAAAGTTGTGTTAGAGTACCTGAACCACTGGCATTGGAAACAGCTGAAAAGGTTATGAATATTAAGCTCACCTTACAGTTCAGTTAGCCTACATTGATAGTAGAAGGAGGACATGGTGATGTAACTTTCAAAATGAAATCATTCGTAGGCTGTATTATTTCATTTTGGGTGGAAATTCGTTGAACAGCCGAAACACCTTGTTTATGGAAACCAGCAAGAATTTCCGACTCGAGTATGTTAAGTTCACTCCTCTTGTGAAATTCAAAGTAGCATGGAAAGTAACTTCAATAGGCATATTCACAATGAATTCAACTTCAAGAAGAGTTCACTATTTTGTGGTCAAGATGTTTCAACCAAGATGTTCCAGAATGTAACTTTTTGCAGAGTTAAGAGAGCCAGCAAGCCTCTTTAATCTCTTTTGCATGAAAAATGGAAACATCTGTCCTAAAGACTTGTCAGACAGCAAAGGAAGTCTTAGAAATTGGGGTACAGGAACACTAGAAGATGGGAGCTGTGGAACGGAGTCTGCCATACATGGTCGTTTTCCAACTGTTCTTTTTTAAATTATCTATGAGAAAGAAGAATAAATTCAGTACCCTCTGACCCCACCCACCATGGAGTCCGAAAGGGAATGTGCCACAATGTCACTCTAGGATTGTGTAGCTACACCACAATTTTATTGGCATTATAACCTAACATCAGCATCAAATATAATGTCCACAACACTTGTTTAGGATGTCTAACACTGGCACTCGGTTAACTCTAATCCCACAGGCCAACTGTCTACAGGAATTCAAGGCCAAAGTGGTGTGTTGCAGTTCCACCAACACCACTCAACCATCAGGATCTTCTCCTCCCCTTCATAAGTTGTTATGTATGGCAAATATGTGCATGGATGTTTGGAACACAGATGAGGTAAATTGTACAGATAGAACCTTCCATGGAAGGACCCCTCACCATATACAGGAATAGATAAATTGTAGATTTATTTATTATTAAGCACAAAGCCAAGCAATGGGCTATCTGTGCTCTGCCCACTGTGGGTACTGATCCCAATTTTTATCATTATAAGCCCTCATACTTACCTCTGAACCACTAGTGGGCACATATTTAGAAATATGTGTGCTCAAAGTTCAGAACGTTAGAACGTTGCTGAACGTTAGAAATGGTCCTCAAAGAAAACTTCTGACAAGAGCTCCAACATACATGATAACAAGACAAAGTGGTTATATGCAAGCCATTCATTTTTTCCAACAAATGCATTCTTGCACACGAAAAGGTGCAATGCCAAACTCATGAGCAGTGGTAAAAGCCTGGCTAGGCCTGGTGGTTAGGACGATTCACTCGCAATGTGCAGATCACGAGTTCAAATCCCGATATTGAACATTCTCGCCCTTGCAGCTTTGTGGGCTATATATATTTCTTTTTAGTGTTAAAATTAACATAACTGTTGTATGTATATATATATATATATATATATATATATAT